TAACAAAAATAGTAAAAAAAAATTATAAAATTATTATAATCTTAAAAATTTTATCCAATTTTTAAGACACATACATGTCTTAATACTTTCTTGATTTAAACTAGATCTTTTCTTTGTAATTAAATCAACGCCACCTGAAAATATTCTTTCAACAGGTACACTTGTACCTATATATTGAATAAAAATTAAATTTATAAAAAAATTAAAAATTATTTTAAAAAAATTTCTTATTTACCTGGTATAGATAAAAAATCCTGTGCCATAGATGCAAGTTGTGAATAAGTTTCTTTATGTGTCTATATATATATAATATAATTAATAAATCTTTCTTAAATTAATAATTAATAAAATATAATTACCTTCCACTATTGTAATGGATCTGTCTTAAATGGAATTACAGGTTTTTGAAGATAATCTTCTAATTCATTATTAATTTCATTACTTTTTCCAAAAACATTAACAAGAAAATCATTTGGATCATCAACTTCATTATCGATAATAATTGGTAATAATTCTTATTATAAATATTTGTAATGGCTTCTAATGCTGCATCTATATATTCTTGCTCCCATTCTTGTATTTCATAGTATTGCAATTTAATTATAGGATCTAATACTAAATAATAAATAAATATAAAAATTAAAATATTATATATATTTTAATTTAAGAAAAATAAAAAATTTACTTACTTGTTACTATAATAAACATATGACTTATCTATTTTAATATAATATTTTTTAAGTTTTTCATATCCTTTTAATACAACAGTACGTATTTCCAAGCAATAATTACTTTTAGTATCTAAAATTTTTTCTAAATAGTCAAGTAATACATTATAAATAGAAATAGAAGAGGAAATTGTAATATATTGTGATTTTGACATATGTTCAGTAGCTTTGTTAAAAATCTAAAAATTATAAAAGTTTTTTAATAATATTTTTATATTAAATAAAAAAAATTAATTAAACTTACTTCTAACACATAATATAATTGATTTATTAATTTCTATTTATTTGGTAAAATAAAAAAATCTCTTAATTCACGTTCAAGAATTATTATTTCATCTAAAGGCTATATAAATATAAATA